TACCACTGATGTGATTGTTACCGATGATAGGACATTTGCTGATGAAGCAGATGAACTCCATATGAAGCAGAAGCCAACAAGACGGAGACCAGTACGGAAGAAGATATGTCCCTATAAATTAAGAGACTTTGTTGAATTGTAATTTTGTGTTTATAATTCTGTACATTTAATTAAGTTATTGCTAATTGTTATTGGTTTATTGTATGTGGTTATTGTTCGGGACGAACAATACTAAGGAAGGGGCAGTGTTGCGTCAGCGAAGTCACATGACTAGTGTCACGCCACGTTTCTAGAACTATCCTGTACCTTGGCGAATGCTCTAGCATTTACTAGATATAGGGTAGTCTGGTATATAATAGAGGGTGACAACGTGACGGGACAATAATGAATGTGTAAGTAGTGAGTAATTGATCTGCAGTCACAGGGTATTGTTGAAGTTAATGTTCGTTGTTGTAGCGTTTGTTTTAGCGTGATTGTTGAAATTAAGTGTATCGTAAAGTTATATTCGGAAAGAATAACCAGTTTTTATTAAGTAAGGACTTGTGTCGCTAAAGTTTCGTCGGAACGAAGTTACGGAAAGTTAATTAACAAACGGAGACGTAACAATATGTTAATTTCTCCGCTGGCCGAACATGTTGCAGAAACAGGTCACTCAATACAGTGGCATAAAACAATAATTTTAAATGAATCCAATACAGTAAACGAGTTTAATATCAGAGAATTATTGAAATTTTGTGACGTAAAAGTAAATTAAATAATCATTTGTTAAATAGAGATGAAGGGTTGGCTGGCGATAGTGCTGAATTTTTAAGGGAAATATTGACTTCATATGTGCAGTATTCATGTCACCCCGGTGAATGACAGTGAGTCCGACCATTCTTATATAAAAACCTGCTATTCGCGTATATTTTTGCTCTTGGTGATGGTAGCGGAAGCTTTCGAAACATCTGGTCATTTGTAATTAAAAAAAATTAATTATTTGATGTAAACGTTGTTTTGCATATATTTTTCAATAAAACAAAACCACTGTTTGTATATACTGCTCGTCATTTTTAGTTTCTAAGTAGAAGCCTTAAGTTTTATGAACTATCGAGATGTATAGCATCATCATCATGATTTGCTCTCTATCGCAAATATCCAAATCAAAATATTAAAAATATAGTTTATAAAAATAGTCTCAGGGTGATCTCAATTAAAAACAACATTGGCTCCAGACACAATCGCAGTTTTCTAAAATGAGAGCTTACAAAATTAATTTGTAAATTATGATTTTAGTAATAACTGACTAGGTGTTATGATTTGATATTTGTATGAAAAATGTAGAGATGCATGGTGTTAAAACTGCCCTGCATTTTGTTTGTGTTGCATCAGTTTGGAGTTCTTTGAGAAGTAAAGAAATCACTATAGCAACTCATACCTCTCTTACCATAGTGATAAACCATCTTCTCTCGGAAGTGTAACAGCTCGAATTTCATCTTGAAGGCCATAATTACAAGATTTTTATCAGAAACGTCTGTGCCTTCACACTTCATTTTAGAAGTTGAAATTTATTCACTACACACGCATCCAATTCCTCTACAGTGGATGGTAAAGCTTTATCGTTCTGTAAAATTTTTCTCACTTTATTGCAGAAGTAAAATACGTACTTACATCTGTTGTACAGTAGCAGGTTTGTAAAAATAGATTCACCACTTCTGGTTGAAGCCAATTCTGATGCTATATTGTGGAATGCATGCACATCAACCACTTTAATGTTCAATGTCCTGATCAAAACAGTAATTAAGGTAGGTACAAAGGATCACCATTTTCTTTAGTATTTCACCTCGTTGGTCTACCAACAAAATCGATGATGCAATTATCCAATCTATTGTTTTCTAGGAAACATGATACATAATCTACCACTCTCCCAAGCTTGGCATCTCTTGTGAGTCAGAGAGGACACCAACAGAAACAGGGTGCCCTCAAAATATGTTCAACCATTTTGGAAGGGATTTTAACTTCAACATAGACATTACACGTGTGAATTCTTAGTATTTTCTTCCAACTGCAGGAAGGATATGACTCCAACCAGACTTTGTCCAGTAAAGTTTGGTTTGGTTGAAGATATTTCTTTATATAATGGGTTTCTTTTATTAAAAATAATTTCAAAGTTCGTCAGAGGTTTCGTAAACTGATGCATTTAATATGATGTTTGCCAATGTTATTGTTTTATAGTTCTTTGTGATAATAGGACTTCTATGCACTGATCTTATGATTCATTCTTTACTCCCCTACGAGTTGACAGACTTACAATGCTAAAATCCAGGGTTTGATTCTTTATGGTGGATAGAGTGCAGATAGCCCATTGCGTAGCTTTGCAATAGAAACAATATATATATATATATTGTAAAATTGTGTTCTGCTCGATTAAGTATTTTAATTTTAAAGAAAGTGGGGTTATTCATGACTAAAAGTGTTTTAGGTTATTTTGGACATCGATTTTCCTTGTTCAAATGCGCATTTTTAAAAACTTTGGTCAGACAGTAGCGAGTATGGTTTTTAAATTTATTTTATAATGTTTTTATAAACATATAGGTTTTATGTGATTTCTATGTTTTATTTTATAAGTTTTCTGTACAGTAGGGTTTTTAGTTGATTTGAGACATTTATTTGGGAAAATGGGGGTCTTACATGATTTAAAGTATTTCGCTTAGAGTTTTTGGACAATAATACTTGGGTAGATTAACTATTCTTTATATAAACTGTTTTAAATAACAGTTTTACTTCATTAAAGTTTTTCAAATTATACAATTCTGTTTAATTATTTATTTTTTAAACAAGACAAAGGGTAGTTCAATACAACGTTTTTCCTGTTACAATTCTTTCGGACAATGGATTTTCTTCAGGGAATAAATATTTTAAAAACTTTTTGAAAATGGAATTTCACATTGATTCTTTTCTTGGCAGCACTTTATGAGCATGTAGTTTTGTTTGGTTTAAAATAAATATCAAGATTATTTTAGATAATACAGTTTTGTTTGGTTTAAAATAAATTTCAAGATTATTTTAGATAATACAGTTTTGTTTGATTGAACCAATTGTTTTCGAAGATCATTTTTGAGCAAATGAAAATTGTTCTTTTGTACAGTGATATTTTGTATTTAGTTTTTCTTTTAGTACTTTATGATTAAGGACGTTTTTGAATTTAAGTTAGTTTTTTCTTAAATTTAGTTTTAACAATAAGGTGTTTCCTGTAAAATTATTTTTCATAACGATTTAGTATGATTGAATGCATTTCAATATTTTTGGAAAACTGGATTTATATTAATAAGCAAGAGTCATATAAATTTGCAGTACGACAGATGAAAGATTTTTTAATTCAAGGAAGTACATAATCTTTCTCTTATCTACTTCTGGTACTTTTTACAAACACACTTACTTGAAAAATTACGTAGAACAGCTTTTTGAAATTAACACTTTATATTATACAGCCAGAATGTCTGGAAAGATCGATGCACACAATGTACCTGAAATTATACTTTTATTATTCATTATACTATTACTAGCCGCGATTCGCAAAACATTTGCTATAGTTTTCATGCCCTTCGCTTGAATTTTCCTTATTCTATCATTCCACACAAGCCACAAATCCTGGTCTATTTGAAAAAAAAAAAAAAATTACGCGGGCAGACAAACAAACTCACATAGACGTAACTTTATTTAATAAAACTACACGTAAACAATATAGTAAAGTAATGGTACTTATAATAGTGTACAGACTATGAAAACGTTATAAGCGTTCACTGTATGACACGGTTTTAAGAGTTGAAACAAAGAAACTCACAAACACGAAAAATAAAACCAGTAGTAAAGAAACAAGATGGAAACTTCAAATTCTTTTAGGCAATATTAGAGTAAATTTATGTACGAGACCCCCCTTTTGTTAGATATATTTGAAATTCTTTTAGGCAGTAAATTAACCCATGAGACTTTTGGTATGATCAATTACATCACTCGAAAGGGTTTGACCTCCTGAGTCCAAAACTATAATTATATCTAAAATCAGTCAAGAGATAACGGAATTATAAGCTGAAAATTTGTACTTGAAAAAATAGAACTCTGAGCCATTCTATTAGCCGCTATGCCGCGCCTAAAAAGTAGCTGAATGGTGTTTGTAACACTCTATGAACCGAGTGGAAGCTAAGTTATTGCAAAGTAAAGTAAATGTAAAGTTGTGATGCAGACAAACTTAGTTGAATATGCAGAAATATCCGATTGCGTGTTTACACAGTGCTAAGCATATGGTTTTTAACAAAATGCGCATTTCAGACCTAAATAAGTCGAGAAAGACATTAGGAATTGTATTTAGTGTAATGTTTATTTTTTAGGGCATTACACACAGGTTAAGTGTTGTTTGTGTGAAAAGTGATGACAATTATGTTGTACCATACTCGTTGAATTGAAGAGTTTGACTAAGCAAAACACAAGTAAGGTGATTCTGAATTGAAAAAATATGCAATACAAACTTTTTGGATACAGGCCTTTCTAACGATATCACATTTGTAGCGTTTGATCGAGAAGCTTGCAAAAAAGTTTCGGACAGGCAAACCCAAGCGTTATATTTATATAGATGATTGTTGGAGATACACACACACGTGTAATTAAAGTATCAAAAATTGTACTTTTATTATTCATTATATTATCATGAATGTTGTGAGTTACATTAATTTTGTGGTTAAAGTACTGAAAAAGCCTATAGATAGTTCCCGATAGACTAACATCCAGGTTATCGATCCGCCATATGCAAGATTTACGAAACTTCGAGCCATAAAGACGTATTCTCCAAGCTCCTTAACCAAGTGGCTAGCTATCCTGCAGGAAGGCAACCCACCCAACTCTTGCCTACGGCTTCGCCCGCCATTATTGACGGGATCCCGAACGATTTCTCTCTACAAAAGATAAATATTTTCCTAAGGAAACACAAACCCAACGACGCTATCGACCCGTCCAAGACAAGGAGGAATTTTTTATTCAACCCCTCACCCCCGAAGATTCAGTTTATCTCTGTTTCCCACGGAACTCCAACCCACCCGTATCTTGTAAACCGCCCAGAAGACATCCTCCAGTCTAGCCTACTCGCCACACCTGACTTATCGATCCACGCAGTGCACCAGATTAAATCAAGAATTACAGGCCAATCGACTCGATACAACAAAGTAGTCACCAATTCTAAAACCACAGAACACATTCTAACTCACGGTCTATCGTACTACTTTTTCTACTTTACAGCCGAAAGACCAAGAAGACGTCCAATCACAAGAAACGGCGACACCACAACCAGATCTTGCAAGTCCGCTACACATCACAATCGACTGTATCCTGATCTTGCTGCTACACCGCTCTTGAGACAGAACAGCTAATTACCACCAGTAAAGTAACCTTGAAAGCGAACAACAGTACTCAAACAACCAGCAGACACAAACCGTGTCACCTCAATCAACCAAGTGCGACGCCTCTACTTCTGATGACATCCATTTTCTAACCCATCAAGAAACACAGACCAGAATCGCCAAAAAGGATGGAAGAATCCAGACCGAAGACCATCACGATACCGACTCTATAAGATTGAAAATATCCACTTCAAGACACGAAACTTCAGAAGTCCTACCAACCGAAGCCTCCACATCACCTTGCATCATCCCGTTACGGAAGATGCAGTTCTTTCGCCTAATCAATCACAGCCCAATCAAGCTAAACGATCATCTCTCTACCCATCCAGCCTTCGATAACCACCTGCAGCCACACGTGTGTGAAATTTAAGCCAAATGGTCTAACACAATATCTTTTTCCACAGTTTTTTCCGGGCACTGTCAGGGTATCTCATTCGGTGCCCTGGCAGTGAAAGTGGGTTTTCTCGGGTTAAAAGCCTCGGCCACTTAATTCTATTTATGAAGTGGGGTTAAGAGAAGAGGAAGTTTCTGACCACCCCTGGTTATATGTCATTCCCGTTCAGGAATCCTTAAGCTTTGTTTATCTAGGAGATTATAGCTACTAAATATGAAAAAGGATCAAAGGATAAAGAAAAATTTAAGTATACCGACACTTTAGACATGTTCACTAGGAAAAGATACGAAGAAAAAATCAAAGTTGTTGTGGAGGGGGAGGGTAGAAGATCCAAATGAGATTCACGCCAACAGCAAAGAATGGAGTTTCCCAATATTTCATATCCAGACATAGTCAATTATTTGGTAAATAAACAACTTGAAGGCATATAAATCTCTGGAATCCTACAATTATTTCACTTGTGGTTGGATGAAAGACAAGCGCTTGCTTGAACAAGATAATGATCATTGTTTGTAGGCCAATAAGATTGTTTTGATATGTATAGGTGTGATTTTATAAAACACTGTAGGCCAATAAGATTGTTTTGATATGGATAGGTGTGATTTTATAAAACACTGTAGGCCAATAAGATTGTTTTGATATGGATAGGTGTGATTTGATAAAACACTGTAGGCCAATGGGATTGTTTTGATATGGATAGGTGTGATCTGATAAAACAATGTAGGCCAATAGGATTGTTTTGACATGGATAGGTGCGATTTGATAAAACACTATAGGCCAATTAGATTGTTTTGATATGGATAGGTGTGATTTGATAAAACACTATAGGCCAATAAGATTGTTTTGATATGGATAGGTGTGATTTGATAAAACACTATAGGCCAATAAGTGATAATCTTACTGTTACGACAGAACATGCTGCAAATAGTGGTACAGGTTTAGGACAGAATGTGTTACAGTTTTTCTTTTGTAGACCATCTCTTGATAAGCCAGCACAAAGTCTTATTAAGAACATATGTTACCCCCATACTAATAAGGTCACTACAGCTGCAAGAAGATGGGGGTGTGAACATGAAAAAAAATGAAAAGTGAGATATACATGTTGGCTTTGACATCATTTTGTTGAGAAGAAAGTATAACTTTTGTTTCAAATAAATGCGATGAATCATTTGTACATTAAAATGTTTTGAGGTGTAAATCATTTTGTATATATTGTATTTTTTAATTCTCATGTTATATTCGTTTCAGATGCCACTTTGTAGATAGAAATAAAGTGGTCACCACAAATCTTCGTATGGTTCGACACCTCAAAATCTGCTTTATTCAGACGAACTGTCCACAATTATCTTTATTTCTCTGACAAATCACAGGTTTCATCACCCTGATTTTTCAGAACTGCGGGAATTGAATGATATGATTTTTTAAATCTCGATCTGACCTATTGTGACATTAAACAATACTACAGGCATTAACCATTGTAATATCCTCGCCGACATTTACCGAAGCTTGTATAATGAGATGTGTGTTGCATTTTGGCGTGCCCTAAAAGATGGCGGACAGAGAAATAATTGCCCGGATGCATGACGTCATTTCTAGAGGAAAGTACACTGTATAGCAACAATATATACAAAATGTACCTACAAACTATGAATTTATTGGCATTTCTTAATTTAACAGGCTTATCTCCTGAAAAACAATCATGACTAGAAAGATGCTAAGATAGCATCAGAACAAATGTGAATACATGTATGAAAATACAAATATAATTCCTCAATACATAATAATTATAATAATTTACAAGTGCTTCCTTACTTGATACATAGTTTGTTAAAAATCAGTGAATCCATTAAAACAGGCAAGGGAACACAACCATACATGTTTTATGGGTCATTCTTGGGCTTCAACCATCCCTATCCTTGTTGTTTTTTTATGACTGACAATTTAACATTACATTTCCTGGTCAAAATCAATAAAAATAATAACTAATAGGTAAGTAGATACAAAAATCATGGACACAAATGTTAACTGATGCATTAAAAGGCTTTTTGAAAAGCTCCTTTGAAGTTCCATATGTTCTCCCAGATCCATTCACCATTATATATAGTCATCACACAGTGCTGGAAAGAGGGACATTTTTAAGATTCATTCACCATCATGTAAAGTCATCACACAGTTATGGAAAGATGGATGTTTCTCAGATTTATTCACCATTATTTAGAGCCATCACACAGTGCTGGAAAGAGGGACATTTTTAAGATTCATTCACCATCATGTAAAGTCATCACACAGTTATGGAAAGATGGATGTTTCTCAGATTTATTCACCATTATTTAGAGCCATCACACAGTGCTGGAAAGAGGGACATTTTTAAGATTCATTCACCATCATGTAAAGTTATCACACAGTTATGGAAAGATGGATGTTTCTCACATTTATTCACTATTATGTAGAGTAATCACATAGTGTTGGAAAAATGGATATTTCTAAAATGCATTCACTATTACGTAGAGAGTCATCACACAGTGCTGGAAACTAGATGAGGTAGCTTTCTCAACACAAGAATCACATAAAAGTCTTTCAAAAAGGAATGTTAGAATTAAACAGGGCAGTAAAGGCCTGAACATATTACCATAAAATAAACAAAATATTCCTTAGAATTTCATGAAGCAATAGCTAAAGTTCACCCGTTATTCTGGTAAACTCATTCACTACCTTTTACTTGATATTGGTTATATGAGAAACATTAAGAAATGACTGTGCGAGAACAAATTACTTAATATTAGAAAATCATAAAGACAGTGCAATCATTCTATGTTGCCACAATTTTTTCATATGCCATATGCCAGTGCATGCACTCACTAAATTAGATCACTGGTCTTTCTCTCTGGAATCTTGACAAACCCAGAGCTTCGTTTACCTGCAAGAAGAAAAGTACGACTGTCACATCAAGTGAACACTCTAGCTGTCAATTTATCACGTTTTTTGTAAATTGCATGTTGTATCATTCATTATGATCAACACTTGCACTTCAAATAAAGTTTATAGGAATGAATCATTATAAACTAGTAATATACAATTAATTCTGCAAGTTTTTGTAATGTCTTCAAGATGTAAGTTATTTAAAAAGCATAAACTACTACACTTTCCAAGTACGGAACAAAATCTACAACTACAATGAAACAATACAAGGTAACATATCAGCTTTAACTTAATGATGAACAGGAAAATATTTAAGATATGTATGACTACACATTTAAGTACAGTTTGAAAAGCACAAGTCAGAAATACAATATTTTACAAAAGGTCAACTAAATTTGAGTACTCTATATTCCAGTGAAATGTTATGAAGGGTTGTGGCTGCATCAGAGCTGGGTGATTTAATTGATTACATATGAGCAGCAATTACATTAATTAATATCATGTAAGCTGATTAATAAAAATCATTATTAAACAGATTGTCAACAAAAATAACCTACTAATAGAAATATGGGTTTCTGATTATTACTATATTTGATTATTCCAACTATCCAAGTAATCGAAATATCATCATATGTCTGTTTTTTGTTCAACACAAATCTATAAAATGGGCTATCTGTGATCTGCATGCTGTGGATATCAAAATCTAATTTCAGTGTTAAAACTTTTCTTTTAATTATAGTCTGTTGAGCTTTGGGTCAGCACAGTGGTAATTTGTGAAGGGTTGGTGGTTCCTTGTGATTCAAATGTCTTGGATTCAATTTATATTATCATCAAACTCTCTCTGTCTTTGTTACGCCAATGCTACTAAGGCTAACTACTAGAAGGAAAGCAATGGGATGGCAGCATCCACCATGAACTCTTTGGCTACTTAAGTGTTAAGTAGTGTAAAACGACTGTTTTTTTTTACATTGTATGACTGTATTCTTTAATGCTGTATAAGCAGCACAGATCTAGGGAAAGAGGCTGCCCCTCCACTCAATTTTTTAAAGAAATTAATAAAAACAGCTAGATGTCATTACATTACCAAATAATAACAAAAAGAAACATCAGATTTCAGTGTTTTTATCTGATTGGGCTATTGATTTGCATAAACAATTTTTCTGAAGTTTTATGAACTCAACACAGTTGGAATTTACAGCAATCCAGTTATGGCTTCAGCCAGTAACTGATTATTTCTAAGCTAATACAACAATATGAGTGTCAATTAAATGTTGCCATAGTAAATTGTTGTGCTGTGGCTTTTTTGCAGACATTCTAACAACATGTCTAGATCTTAAGAGATTTGTTTCCATCAAAAACAGTATCTTAAAGTCTGTAAGACAGTTATATCTATTAAAAGTTTTATTTCAGAAAATAGATTGATGTTATTCTACTTTTTATGTTGTTTGAACTTTAATTTATGCTTCTTGAAGAATATCTAAAACTACTATGTTTTTATTTTGGCTGAGTATGTATTTACCTAATACTACGTTTTTATTTTGGTTGAGAATGTATTCACCTAATACTATGTTTTTATTTTGGCTGGGTATGTATTTACCTAATACTATGTTTTTATTTTGGCTGAGTATGTATTTACCTAATACTACGTTTTTATTTTGGCTGAGTATGTATTTACCTAATTCTATGTTTTTATTTTGGCTGAGTATGTATTTACCTAATTCTATGTTTTTATTTTGGCTGAGTATGTATTTACCTAATTCTATGTTTTTATTTTGGCTGAGTATGTATTTACCTAATACTATGTTTTTATTTTGGTTGAGTATGTATTTACCTAATTCTATGTTTTTATTTTGGTTGAGTATGTATTTACCTAATACTATGTTTTTATTTTGGCTGGGTATGTATTTACCTAATTCTATGTTTTTATTTTGGCTGAGTATGTATTTCCCTAATTCCATGTTTTTATTTTGGCTGAGTATGTATTTACCTAATTCCATGTTTTTATTTTGGCTGAGTATGTATTTACCTAATACTATGTTTTTATTTTGGCTGGGTATGTATTTACCTAATTCTATGTTTTTATTTTGGCTGAGTATGTATTTACCTAATTCCATGTTTTTATTTTGGCTGAGTATGTATTTACCTAATTCCATGTTTTTATTTTGGCTGAGTATATATTTACCTAATAAATAAACGAGTTATGATTTTTACTTACTTTGGTTGGCTACAAAGCATTTGAGTAGCTGAGTAGTTATAGATACAATACTTACAGCTTCAACACTGTTGTAAACACACATATGAATATATATATAAAACAATGCTGAATTGTCTGAAATTTGTAGAAAAGTTTACACAACACTGTTGCAACAGGTGGCTGATAAGTGAATAAATGTTTAACTGTTTCTGAATGTTAAACAATCTAGGAGCTCAACTTAAACAATGCACAAGCTTATTGTGTATTCTGTACATCACTGAACATGCACTAGTTATAGGCATTGAACTAAGTTACATAACTTGTTAAGAGAAGTTCTCACAGAGTTCTTAACAGTTTAACTGTTCAATCTAGATTAACTTTGTGATTTAATGCAGAAATAAAAATGCTTCAGGTGTGGCACATAAACACACACAACACTTAATAAACTTCACTTTACCTAGATATCAATATAATAAATCTACTACAACTTTACAATAATTGTGTACTTCAGATGCTACATTTAAAACCATGGAGGTATGTTTCTCTCACATAATTTGCTGATAATATAAAACACCAACCAGTAAATGTGCTGACTGAATCTGATCTGCTTTATAACTAAACATCCCTTTATTTTCAACCCCTGATGCATATCTATTTTTTTTTCTTTCTTTTAAACCAAAAAGTATTTATTGATTTGTTTCTATACTGTTCACCACTGGTAAAATCCAAATAGTATATAATAAAGAGCAATTAAATGTTTTGAAAGTTACACGAAATCACTCACTTGCAGTGCAAAAAGTACAAGTATCCCTGCAGTAATTAGTGTAAACTGTAATACTTTTGTTTAAATTTTTTGTGTGACACAGTCTTGAATCCAAAAGCAATTTGGTGGATATATAATTTAGGAAAGCGTGTTTAAAAAGCCTAAGAACTGTATATGAAAATCATCATTCAACCAAATAAAAGTTATCAGTGATCAATCTGATGATCAATAGTTATTTACACTGAACATAATAAAATAACTTTAAGAAATTAACTTACATGATGATAATTTCATGAACAACAGAATAAAGATTACAATGATACTTTAGCCATATACATAAAGCACATATTGGTGTTATACAACCTCTGAAGATTATTAGCAATAGTCTTATGAAACCTGTGATGTCACCATCATATAGTCACAATAACTGAAATGTATTTGACATCTTTATACAATACTTTCGTGGTTAACAAGTGTATTTTTAGACTAATACGTTTACAAGACTACTCAGAAGGAACAAGCTTCATTTACACTCTAAATGTCATGTAGTAAATGTAGGAAAAGAGCCTGAACTGTTGAAATACATAAATGAACATACACAAGAAATACCACACATAAAAGACACATATACAAGCAAGTATATTAATCTGTTGGTAATGGCTCTCAACACATTTAATTTGACAAAGATACAACACAACAACTTCAAAGACGTCATTTTCCTCTTTCTGTTATCTATTTCTCCTAATTTTTTATTCATTTTATTGATCTTGAAAAATTACTTTCTAAACCTTTTTTAAATACATTTTACCTTTATGCTTAATTTTCATCAATTAATTATCTTTTGATAAAAAGAAATAAAAAACTCCTCTACTGTTTCAATCTGTCATTTATCTACAGATCAAATATCAGAGGCAGAATAATATATCCAACATCATTAAACAAAAGCTTAATATTCCAGATCTTGTCAACTATTCTTATATTTTCAGTAAAAATTATAATATCAATATTTTTTCATTACCTGGAACCTTGGCTTTCCTAAATTCAATTCACTCTCATAACTGAGCAACAATAATGATGCAGATGGATTCGTTCCACCATTCACAGTGAAGTTATCACTCCATTTTACAATCATTTTGTAAAATATGGATTTCTGCTTACTTATGTGAATTACAATATATAATTCACTTATTATCAGTATACAGCTTTATAGTACTCTGAGCAGCACTCAAAATAACAACTGAGGTTATACTAGCTAACATATCATTGTCGATCAGTTTACTAAGTAACATACCATTATGAAAAAGCTTACAAGCTTACCTGGCATTATCCAATAGCTTACTAGCTAACCTATGATTATCCAATGGCTTACTAGCTTACGTACCATTATCCAATAGCTTACTAGCTTACGTACCATTATCCAATAGCTTACTAGCTTATGTACCGTTATCCAATAGCTTACTAGCTTACATACCATTATCCAGTAGCTTACAATGTGAAATAGTAAATTAGATTTTTTTGGTTATGGTTTTGTTTATCATTCTTTTATTATTCCTTATATCGTTTGGTTTATCCATGAACTTTTAGTTACATTAAAATGCCAACTCACCTTCTAGCTGATCACTTTTATTTTGAATATATATATGTATATATTAAGAAACTGAAACCAGCTCCCTACTGGTGACATACAGATACTATTAATGTAGCAAAGGATTATGTAAATTTATGATCACATGAGATGTACTCTCGTGACCTAACACAGTGAATAAATACCCTGCCAGAACATAGTAACATAGAAAAGTGATTTTGGAATATTGTGTTGTGGTTGTTTTTGGAATTAGTATTTTTTATTCTTCTGTTTTTTTTTCCTGATTTCATTACTTGAAATAATTAATATTGATATTAATGTTTTACCATTCATTAATATTAGTATCAAGTCCTGCCAGGTACATGTTTATTAATTGCATCTGTGGTACTTGCCAAATTTTAATACCAAGTGTTGTTACAGTTTAATAACTTGTTTTTTGCTGAACCCTGAAGCTAT